GATGTTGTTTTTGAAATTTCCAGTGTTGCATGTGGTAGTAAAAATGTTCATAAAAGGCGTAAAATTAAAAATGTTGCTACTTTAATAAAAATTCGAATCTAGCTATAAGTACTCAATCTGTTCGGACCTAGCTGCAAGCGCTAGTGATGTTGACTTTTATAAAATGCATCTAAATGTTGTAAAAAAATGTTTGCCTAAATAATTCGGTTAATAATGCTAAGTGCAATCCACTCCCTGGGAAAAAACATGAATCGGATAAGGACATTGGCCATTAACGCCATGGAAATAAGAGTATTTCCTACCTCCATGATTAGAGGCTATTTTTACCCACGAAAACTGCGCGCCTTTGCCAAAATTTTCAAAAATTTCTGTTTAGGAAAATGATAATGTAAAGTAGTCCTGAAATGTTACTGATGAAATTATTGTAAATAATAATGTAGAAATAGTTTCTCTGGATATTTTCAAAGGCACCAGAATTAAACCGATTATGGTGATACCACCGCTATCGAATCTGTTAAGAAACTTAAAGATGAGATTAATGTTATCCAAATGATTTCGTCTTTGTTTGCATAAATATGAATTATTGCAGTTATTAATATCCACCTGATATAATATCAACAATAATGTCAGCAATTATTCAGCGCAACGATGATTATTTCAGTGTTATTAGAATTGTGGAGCTGTTAAGGGGACTTGGTACCCCCAAATCGATGAAATTACCGATTTTTCAATTTTTTGCTGGAAAAATACCTTAATACCCTTACTACACTGAAGAGAAATTTTGAAATGATCTGACGATAATAAAGGCCATAAAAAGGCTTTAAAAAATCTTGGACAGCTTTTTAGATGCCACACCACCTCAGTGTTTACTTTTTTTTTATTTTTTAATTTTTTCAGTAACTTACTAAAAATCAGTATAAATGAAAAAGAGTGTAATTTAATATGACTCCAATTATCAACAAACTCTCAATGTGTATAAACTGATTTAAATACAAAGTGAAGTCACAGCAAATATTTTTATGTGTATTATCAGCCAACTTTGCTATGCTCATTCAAAAATTGAAATTATTTGTGATAAGACACGAACAGAAAGAGGTGGTGCAATGAAAGTGATCAAGTTCCTGGCTGTAGCATTACTGAAATAGTGCTGGAATAAACATTAAACTCTTTAATTAATCAAAATACACCTAAATTAATTTAGGGAACAAACTTTCAATGTATTTTTCCTAAGTAATGTATTCTGATTTATACTTTCAGCATAATTGCTTTGTTGCGGCGGAAAACCAGTTAGGGAACAAACTTTCAATGTATTTTTCCTAAGTAATGTATTCTGATTTATACTTTCAGCATAATTGCTTTGTTGCGGCGGAAAACCAGGTGAATACTAAAGTCATAAATGATGCAAAGTGACGGGACAAATTGCTTCCATAGCGGGTAATGAGGACGATTTAGAATTTTTTCCGAGGAGTCATTATTTCTTTCTTCACAAGAAATGAGAAACATATGTGTAAATGACATCCCTGTTAGACATTTTAACATGTGTGATTTTACTGGTTTCGTTGCTGAGGGGTATTGACTTATTGTTAGCTTAATTGACATTCGGAATGGTTTTATAACTCCATGTTATCTTAGTGCTATCATCGTTTAAGATTTTCAAAATAGGATCAGTGAATGGCTATTCAAGCTCCAGGCCGACTTTGTTATTAGACGTAAGTGGCCATTCACCAATTAGGTGTTAATCCTATTAGCAGGTGCGTGATAGTTACGAAAGGTTTTTACATTTGCTTATCTTGAACAAATTCTAAGTGAAACAAGTTGTAAATATCCTCGAATAAACTGTAAGGGAGAAGATTAGCAGTAAAAGTGGTACTATAACAAAAGAATTATGGCCTTTTTGTAGGAATAATTTTATTTATTTATTTATTTTTATTTCAGTAAGATTAAAACAAAGAATTTTACTTGACGTTGTACATGACGTCTTTTTATCGTACATTGCTTGAATGTATACAATCATTAGTTTATATTTTTCCTGTGATAGGCTTACAAATGGTGGTTGAGTAAAAGACTCTAAATATAGTTTTAATTAGCTTGTTGATATAATTTACAAATGCAGGTATGATAACTAGGTGTTTTGCTTTTAAAACTGATAAAATTCACTCTTTAAGAAGCCAAATGACAGGGACTAACCTTTCTTCCATGAAAATATAAGCGAATTCATTTGAAATAAATGCTACTGACCTGCAGGTACCTGAGCCATCTTTAAAATTTGTAAAATTTAAAGATTTTTTTAAAAAAGTCTGAAAGTTTTCAGATTTTATATTACGCCCGAAGGGGCGTTTTTCTAAGAATTTGTGTGTTACTTTCATTTATCAAATATCATGTTCTTCGTACTTAAGCCATACAATTCAACTCAACGGCAATATCCAAAATAACCGATTCACAGTCTCGTGCGCTGGAGATAATTTTTCCCCCCTTTCCTTACAGTGTTGCCACTGCTCGCTTTGAAATCGTTGAGTTTCTTAATCCAAAAACTCATAAATCCTTTACAAAATATGAAACAGATAATATAACAAATTCCAAATTCCAAATGTGGGCTTCCAGATGCCCGTATTCGAGTGGAGGATTACGTTATTTAAAAGTACAGTTGTTTTATCACAATGAGAGAAATATACGTGAATTTATGTAGATTCTTTATTATTTAATTTCTATAAATAAAATACAGGGCTCTAATATTTCAAAATTTTTAAACAATTTGAAAAGCGAAAGACCACAAAATGCCGAAACGAAATTAATAGCCCTTCTGGGCTAACGCCGTTTGGGCTAAAAAAATTTTAAGTTGCGCACATTTCTTTATTTCCCGAGAAATATATTAAACATATTTCCGCTTTCAGAAATATAGTTTAGTAGTCTTCAGTTTAAGGGATATTTTTTAATTAGGGATATTTCTACGTCTTCATGCTGCCATCTTGTTTAATTTAACTGACTGATAAAGCTCAGTAAAACAGTACCTTCTCTTCGGCATGAGAATTTTCGATTTAGTTCTTTTTTTTGGCATATATCAGTGTCCTGTATTTATGAAAATATCAACAACAACAAAAAAAGGATATTGAGGTCTTTTATTATATATTAAGAAAATGTGTGAAGTTATTATTTTGATAAGTTTTATTCCAATTTCATTCTGTTCTTTAAATTTCATATTTCAACGGACATTCATTAATCTCTATCGAAAGAAATTAATTTTTCTTCCTTTGTTTATTTATTTATTTTTACTTAATGTAGAATAATAACTAAGATAAAGAAAATTTTAATCGCTCTAAATATGATGAAATTTCTTATGATTATGCTTAATATTTTCCTTAGTCGAACATAGAAAAACTTTAAAGCTTTGTCAGCTTGAGGAGATGAATACCATCGTGAAGAATTTTCTAAGGAAAACAAGCTCTTGTTTCTGTTACTCATAATGAAAACAATGAAAAATATTTATGAAAATCATCATTATGGAAAAGAACGTATTTAAATAAATATCCTGAACATTACTAAAGGTTACATCTTCTAAAGTGGGCACCTCTCAAGAAAACAACACCGTTAGAACTACCAATAACGGTTTTAGAGGGGTTTAACAGTATTCAGTTAACATCTTTTTCATCTATTACTGCAGTACTACAATATTTGTAATTTTTCAAGTGAATTTTCAGACACTTCTGCTCAATTTTAATTGAAATTAATTTCTGTAATTATTGCAATATTTTTCCCTGTAATAGTTCGCTAGATATTTTTCTTCCCTTTTTTTTAACTCGACTATAAATGAAAATATAGGATTTGAACTTTTCACCTTGGCCTTACAAGGGAAAAAATAAAAATAAAAACTCAATGTTGTTTACTCTATAAGATTAAAATTTTAAGCTTAGCTCTAATTCAGAACGCATATATGAATTACCCAGTAAATTTAATTCCGTAGAACGTAGCTTAATCGCTTATTTCTTAAAAAATTTCCGTGTTATAGTATAATCAATTATTTTCTTTGCAGCGCATTTCAGAGCTTTATATTTTCTTTTTCATTGGGGGGATTCAGTGTTAAAAATTTCACGTCAATGGACCTCAATTTCACGTCTGGAGGCTCAAATTTGGATACTAGAATTTGTTTTATTATCTATTTCATATTTTGTACAACTTTAACTAATTTTTGATTAACAAAATGATTTAGAAGCGCGCAATGGCAATGGTGAAGAATAACAACAACAACAAAAAACTTTATCTCCAGAGCGCGAGATTGTGCATTGGAAATACTAAAGATATGCTCTTTTTAAATATCTTGTGATATTGCTGTTGAATTTAATTTTCTGGTTTAAACGCGAAAAGCATGATGTTTAATAAATAAATGTAACACAAAACGTTAATTAAAAGCGCATCTTTGAGCGTAATATAAAAGCTTTCAGATCTTTTAAAATTTTTTTAAATTTATTTTTTTACGCTGAAATTTAAATAGGCAATGTGTTATTTTAGGGAATCCAAAAATGAAAAGCCATATGTGCATTAAAATTTAAAGCAATGAATAAAATTAATCAGATTTTTCAGTTTTAATATAAAATTCGAAAATATATGGATTTTTCCTTCACAAATGCTGTACTAAGAATTATGTCTCAAAACTCTGTAAACTTTTAAGTAAGGTACCTTTTTCTTTATGTTCAATGTACCTTTTTTCTTTTTAATCTTCGGCTCTAAAATAAGTCTTTATGTGTAATACTTATAAGTGAAATCTCTAGCGACAGTCTTAAGACAATCCTAAAACGTCTATTTCTCAAAATGATCAATATTTCTGACAACATAATTAGGTATCTATATTCAACATCACTGAGATTTACGTTCTCTTAAGGAGACTGCCTCTGAAGAAGAACAAAACCGTCTAGTTCGAATCGAAATGTTAGTCTTTGGGACTTTCATAGCAATTTAAAGTAGGTAGCTAAAATTTCAATAATACGTAAATATTACAAACATGACTCATGGAATTCTTTTTATTTTTATAGTTTCCACAGTTACGTACATGCACATGCATAAAATTTTGCAATTTATAGTACAGAATGAATATTAAAAATTTTACTTAGCTACAATATTTGTGTCAAATATATTCAACTTGTTTCTTGAACATATTTCTCGTAATAGGCCTGAAAAACATTAAAAGTGTTATTTAAAATTTTTTATCAGTACAAAAATATTAATGAAAGAACCAATTTAATCACTTTCAATTTCATTTATACAAGTTTTCAATAAATAATTTGAAAAAATGTGCAAAATAATTTTTGAAACAACAAACAACAAGATAAAATAGGTCTTTCTTAATCAATACTGCTTAAATTTTGAATAAAGAATGTGATCTACTAAAGAAATATTGCAGATTTTATAGTAAATTAGGTGTTAAAATACTGATGTGGATCACTTTGCAAAAATAAATGGAACAGAAATGAAAAAATAATTAATCAAAATTTTTCATGAAACAAACTGAAAAAAACATATAGTTTTTAAAAGGTAATAAGCGTCCAATTTCAAAGGTTTGCATATGGGTTTTAAAATCTTAAGTAATTTATATAATTTAAGATTTCAAAAATATACTAATCAGGAAATTAGTATATTGTCGTTTAAATGCACGGTCTGTGATTGACTTAAGATATGCTGTAATAAATTAATAACGACGATTGATAGCTTATAATAATACTCATAAAATTTAGAGAAAGGGTTATAACACTTCGATCATTATGAGGAACATCTGCAGATAAAGCATGTTAAAAATTATATATACAGTCTTTAATTTTACAATTAGCAGCATCTGGCTTTAGTTATTAACTAGGACTTTAGTTATTAACTAGCACTGTCCCAATCATTCAGAATTCCCAATAAATCGAAGTTATTTTAAAGTTGTCAGAAAGGTCTTATAATCAACACGTTTGAATATTGTAAACAATGTTATTATAGAAAGAATGTTATAGCAATAAAATCGTAAGTAAAGCAATAATACTTGATCAAATTGTGTTCCATATTTTCTTCTTAAAAATTTTAAATATCTAGCTGCTTGTTCAAAAACGGTAGCTTTGTCAGTCTTGTCACTCAGTCCTGGAACCGTTTTACGCAATGAGGCGCATGCTTCAGAGACTCGGCTCCTGGTGGGTAAGGAAAAAATGTAAATATTGGTATTATTAAAATACTCAATGTAAACAAAAGAGGAGGTATATATACCACATTTTAAAAAAGTGTCTTTAATGCATTTATTTTTCATCATCAATACTTTGCTGGCTTTCCTTCACAAACGTACATAATTTTTTCTTGACTTTAAACTAGCGTTTTTTAAATGCTGTTAGGTTTCTATCATTTGAATGGCTCAGATGACAGTAATTTAAAACTTTTTTTTTTTTTTTTTTTTTTTTTTATTTGATTGTTTTGTGTTTGGCTTGTTAATATTGTATCTCTAGATTGCAGAGTTTTAATAAATAATCTTCATTCTGATGTATAAAATTAAAAAGTGTTTTTAATGTAATGCAAGAAAAAGAGTAAATGCTTCATTTCAAATAATCCTTTTAAATGAATTTAAAAAAATTAAAATCATCATTTAATTTATGATATAAATATTTATCATGCATTCCTTTTTTTTTTTCCTCAAACAACACGACAGAGAAAATCTTGCTATCATTCTAAATTAACCTAGTTCCACAAAAAAAGTGCAGAAGCCAATATACATTCGAGAGTAATGATTACTTTAAAGAATTAAAATAAAGTGAATATATATATATGTGTTTCTTTAAAGAATCCAATTAATCATAATGTCTGAATTGGATAGTGAAAATAATAATTCGTGCTTGTAATCGAAAATATAAAGGAAGCATTTTTCTGTTCTAGATGCTCGGAAGTAAAACTTTTAACTGATTATTCAATTAGTGGTTACATCTGGTAGAAGGCGCAAACTAAGAATCTGATGTGTTTTTGCGAAAACATAGGTCTTTAGTTAGAAACTTTAATTTGTTACATAAACCTTGAGAGCATTCTATTGATCCTATAATCATTTATTTACTGCTCAAAATAGCATTGTTAAATTTTTGATTTTATTTACTTTGCAGTGAATTTGATTATTCTTTTTGTATTTTAATCTTTAAATCGATTTTATTAAATTTATTAAATGATGATTGCATATAAAGAGTGATAATTGGTATCATGATCTTTTTGCGATTAAAATAGCAGCCACAATCTACTTCAGGGGTGGGCAAATAGCGGTTTGTTTGCTACATGTAGCCCGCTAATAGTTTTTTCTGGACCGCTAAGACAGTCAGAAAATTCCGCTTTGAAGAGATTTCGCGACTGAAGATTCGCCCTGTATTTTCCACTATAAATTATAGGACGGCCACGTCAATACGCATGCGCAGTATAGATGCGATGCCCAGTGCTTTTCCAGTTGATGTAGTTACACTTCAATTTTGTATTTGCAACAATAAATATATAAATTTTCAGCATTAGTGAAACCACGAACCCTTCGAAGAAACGTAAAATCGATGATCAGTGTCATGTGTTAATGAAGAAAGGACAAACAAATATCTCTTTAGTAATACAGAGAATAAAGCAGTGCGTTTACTGGGCCATAAAACGATAGCCATATTTAAGGAGTAAATCTTAAACAGCACCACGAAACAAAATACAGTAAGACCCCGCTTAACGCTGTTTCGTTTAGCGCTGTTTCGGTTTAGCGCCCTTTTATTTCAACCCGGGGATTCTCCGAAATTGTGCGCAGCGCTAGGTTTCCAAATAACATATCCGAAACAGTGTAGTTGTGTTTCTTGCTTTTTATCATTTGAAACATTTGTTGACATTATTGTAAGTTTAAATTTGTATAATACTATAACGATTAATACAGTGACAAATATTATAATCTTTAGTTTATATCATGGGTGATAATAAAAAACAAGAAAAGAAAGCAACCAGAAAAAGCATTTCACTGGAAACTCAAATGCAAGTGATTAGAAGATTAGATTCTGGTGAACGTCAATCTCAAATTAGTGCTGCATTGATTTTGGCAACTTCAACAATAAGGATAATTCTTAAGAATAAAGAAAAAATACTGTCATCTGCAACTACGTCAAGCTCTGCAACTAGAATTACCCGTTCTAGAAATAACATTATAGAGGAAATGGAAAAACGACTGTCTATATGGATTGACGACGAAATTGAACGCAATATGCCATTAAGCCAATCTATCATAATACCTTCTTAACAAAAAGGCAGAAAATTGGAAACCCAGAATAGACTGAATGATCTGACTGAGAATTTTATTTGTTTTTAAAAGTATATGCGTTTATATTGTTTTTATTTTTGTAAGAAATAAATGTTTGATTTTATTTTTATTAAAAAACATTATTAATTTAATGCCTAACCATTTTTTATCCGTCTTCCCCTAATCCCATTATTTACATGTTAAGATAGCCTCGCTTAGCGCTGTTTCGCATTACGCTCTACTTCGATGGAACGTATCCCCCGCGTTAAGCGGGGTCTTACTGTATAACGAATTTGGCTGCAAACTTTCCAAGAAAGGTCGCAAAATAAAAGCTGTGGCGCGAGAAATCTGTAGAAGCAAACATAATTTACAAAGCAATCAACATTTCGAAGTAGCTTTACAGAAGCAAGTTTCATAGTAACTTACAACCTTGCTAAACGGATAAGCCTAGGGAACATGTCTCATTAAACTGATTCTAAAATTAAAGTTACATGAAATTAAATGAGCATAATAAATAAATTGAATAAACCTGCTGCTATTTTATTTTATTTAAGTTATATTTATAGATTTATGGTGCGATTTATATCTTTTCTGAAATGCAAAATTGATTAATGCATGCAATAGTTTTAAAAGATCTGCTTCCACAAAGTAACCTCCAGCCAATAACAATTTGCCCACCATTCAGATTTGAAAATCACGAGATTTTTAACAGCTGCAAAGCATCACTCGAACACAAGAATTAAAATTAAACTTGTCTAGGATTAAAAAACAAAAGTCTACTGCAAGGTGTGGAATCTGCAAAGAAAATACTAGAATACTGAGCACGTTCCAGAGTGTTTAATAATTATTTATACAAAAGCAAGAATATTTAAAAAACAGTTTAACACATGGTAAGATGACATATTAACCCCAAAAAAAATTTTTCGTTTTAATTTCTCTTTCCTAAGCGTCCATATTACATAAATTCTTTTCCTTTGCTTCCATAAACTATGGAAATTTTTGATTATTTTTTTCTTTCCCATTCTCCAAATTCTCTAAACAATTGCCCACCATTCAGATTGCTGAAAATCACTGAGATTTAACAGCTGCCAAAGCATCACTCGAAACACAAGAATTAAAATTAAACTTGTCTAGGATTAAAAAAAAAAAAAAATACTGCAATGTGTGGAATCTGCAAAAGAAAATACTAGAATACTGAGCAACTTTCCAGAGTGTGTTAATAATTGATTTATACAAAAGGCAATGAAATATTTAAAAAACATTTTGATTTATTATGTATCTTCACATACAAATATACTCATTTTATTTCTTTCCTATGCGGGAGGTCCTATGATTACTATAGCAATTAATGTTTCCAAACATTTGAATGTATTCCAGAAATAAACTATTGAAATTTATGAAGATTTTAATTTATTTTCCCATTCTTCTTCCAGCAGTGTCTCATAAGAAGAATAAACTATAAGCAAACTGAATGTATTTGAGTTTACACTTTTAATTAGATTTAATTTGAGTTCAATTAATTAGGACATAAATTATAACTCACGTATGCTTAACTCAAAATACTAGATGTTCACCTATTGAATTATCGAATTATTATCACTCTATTTGAGTTAACTTGTTTGTCTGTAGAATCGAATTGAGTGAGCATAGATTAATCATTATTCTGAACGAACAGACAAATAATACGTAATTACATTGATATTAATTTATGAACTGCAATTACGATGCACGAATTGCAGATTAAGTTACAGTTTAGTAATTTGCAAAATTCAATTTTTGATTTGATTTCAACTGAAAAGAATCAATGCACTTCGAGAAATAAATGGAAGACGTCTTTCTTCAAAAGCATTGTTCATTCAAAATTTCTGCAGTTTAAGACGATTATTGAATTTGGCCAATTACTTATATTAAGTATGAAATAAATGTAAGTCATTAATCGTAAAATAGGTGTTTGCGTGCAAAATATATACAGAAATTACTGAAGCGCCATTAATATTAAATTCTTTCTGTTTCTTTGCTTGGCATATTCAATTGTGAAAGATAAAAAAGGTTTAACATTAACCAATCAAATTTATTTCGGTTCCTCGGTACAGATTCCAAATTAACAAACTGAATACCTTCTTTTCCTCTCCTTCTCGTTATGGCTTTCTCGTTCACTCAAAGTAGGATAATAGAAATGGAATTCTCCATTAGAATCTTTGTATCCAAATACTACTTGGCCATCAGATGTTACAAAGCGCTGCATAACTTGAGAACTTTCATTCAAGTTTGATGAACTGAAATGAAGGTAGGGAAAATCAGATTTCAAAAAACAGTTACAAAACGAAAGCTAGTGATTTAATTTATGATCATAGTTAAAGCAATTTACACAAAATTATTTAAGCGTCTCATTGCATCATTATCTATAAAATATGGTTAGTTGGATTCATACTTATAAAAAAATCTAATGATAAACTAATTTAACATTAAAATATTAAATTAATTAATTGATTTTATAAAGCTACGGCTTTATAAAAAGAAATCTGTTCTTGCACTTCATTTATTTTTATAATATTTCATGTTTCACATGTATTTTACTACCTACTCTGATATTTATATTATCTGTCCACAACAAAAAACTTGCGGGAAATCTTCAAAAGCAGTGTGACGTTTTCGGAAGAGTGGAAAGGTAAACTGTACCTTATATTGTATCATTTTACAACATGTTTCAAGAATAGTTTTAAGTAATTATTACGTAATTATTAATAATTCTAAAAGATATTACTTAATTCGATAATTATTAAACAATAACTTGTAGTAAAATTCAATAATAATAAACTTACTTGTTACTAATATTATTTCACATTTATTATAGTTTACTTAACAAACTACTCGTAAATAATAAAATGATTTATAGGTAAAACGCATTAAAAGCGGCATAACAATAAAATTTTTATTGCTTAAAATTAAAGAAATTATTCTGTGCACATTTATTAATCTCATTATTAAATATCCTTTTGAGACTCCTATTTTCAGTGCCTTATAAGGTATTTTCTCTCTCCTTCGAGCATTTCTTCGTGATGTAACGGTAGCACACTCGGCACGTATTCGAGAGGTCCAGGTTCGAGTCCCAACAAGGACGTTGCACATTTTTCACGTCTCCTGCTTGAGAATAACCCCATGACTCAATAGCCTTAACAAGTAAATTGAACAGCGCATCCATAAAAATCCTTAAGCCACCTTTATTTCTGCAACCTTAGGTTATACACAAGTACACCCAGGTAAAAAATGCATTAAATGGCAAAAATATGCATGTCATGATAATTTGAAATAAAAAATATTAAATTTTGCAAAATGTATGATGTTTAACATTTTATACGGCCTGTCGGGCCACGTAGCTACGGTAAATAGATTTTGGACTCTTTTTAAAACTTAAAACACAAAGCGTTTGGCTCCGGTAGGACAAAAATTGACCAAGATATTTAATTTCAAAATTTAGAACTTTTGTATATCTACATTTAATTTTTAGATTTCCTCCTTTAATGTCATTCAAGATTCATTCAGTGATACTATTTTGGGACTGAATGGTGCATAACATTCTTTAATTTATAATTTTGTTGTTGCATCTGGCATGCCGTAAGCCATGCGTTAAGCTTTTTCGCTTATGTAATTAAAATACACAAGTCAAATGTCAAAATTTCATTAATAATACTCACATGCTGTTTTATTACTTTATAATCACAAAGGAAAAAAATTCAGTGGACTGAAAATATTTACCATTTTTCCTTTATGCAAATAATGCTATGAGTTGGCATTCTGTCAGTAATGGAACTTGCTACTGCTTTCTAAAACACAAATTCTATAAGATTCTGAAAATATAAGATTTCCTTTTTGAAAAAATTTGTATCAAACAAAATGTTTCATCAGCCTTCACAATATTGCTCGTCTCTTAATCTAATGGCATCAGAAAACTTTTCATAAATTTATATTTCACTTTTAGCTATGTACAAATGCAAGCATGTCGCTCTTCACTTTGTGAACGACCACTGAATATTGCTTCAAACTTGAAAATTAAATACATCAGTCAATTTTTGTTTCCTGGCTATCAACTTTTTTTTGTGTGTGTGTGGGTGTGTGTTTAATTTTATAGAAGCAGTATAAACACTTATTAAATATAACTGTGCATACCGGAAGCGCCCAAAAAAAGGTTACATTTCGTAATTTTTAAAATACTGATTTTCTAAGTATGAAAATGTTGTGATATGAATAGTGTCCTTATTTAAAATATTTTCGTATTTTGAAGTATCTGTTAAAAGTTGACAAAATACCACATCGAAGTGCCTAGTATTTCCCGGTTGCATTACGACGACAAGCGGAAGGTGTCGGATTTCCACATCCACGCATTAGAGTGCTGACTATCAGCTTGGAAAATAAAAATAAATATTGAAAAATCTGATGCTGTATTATTTACCAGGAAGAGAAATATAGATCCTGCTCTATTTGTATACATATATGACATCCCTGTTCCGTGGATCATGCAGGCCCTTTACCTTGGAGTTAATTTAGATCACTGACTGGCTCACATAGTCCCCACACATTACACAGCTCTTAACCAAGTTTCGAGTGCGTAAACGTACACTTGCCCCATTAATTGCTTGGAACAGCCTTCTCTGTATTGATAACAAAATACTCATTAATAAAACCCTTTTGCGTCCGATACTCACCTATGCCTGTCCTGTTTGGGGTTATGCTAGCAAAACCAGTCTGAAATTCAGATTTATATTGCTATGCTTGCTGAAAAATTTTAAATGAAAATTCCAGACGTGCAAAATAGCACCATTCCTATACTAAGCTATGACTATGAAAGTCATGATAATCGTAGAAGGCCGCTTGCGGTTCTTCGCTTCTTAAATCAATAGTGCTATTTTGTATCTCATTGTAATTGTTAAGTATATATTTTTGTTCATGTTCTTGTTGTCTTTTTGCTTTCTCTTGGTAGTATTTTTGTTATGTATCACACATTGTACTCATACTTACACATACACGATCCTTCAGAAACTGTTTTTGGTAAATACTGTCATTTCTTGTAATCCTGTCAATAACTGCCATAAAATTGCGCATTTCTTTCTTGGATTTCAAGGGTTGACAGTTCCAGGTGTTATTCTCGTTCGTACTCTCTACGTGCTTCAATGTAAATCTACTATACTACTCCTGCTACATATTTTGGTTAAAAAAATACTGTGACTATGTGCTCATTCATCTATTAGGAACTCACATGTGATCGAAAATCGAAACTGCATTAATCCGAGTTAGCGATTACAGGCGGGTACCCATTACAGGGAACCATTCATCTTTTCTTGAGCCGACTTTTGAGTCCGATGCTAAGTTTAAGAGTATCACCGTAGAGGACGTCGACCGGCTCGCTAGGGATAAATAGAAGGGCTAACTCATTTCTTTGTTCGACTCCTCGCCGACGCAAGCCTAATGGGGGACGTAACAGGCAATAATCTGACGTCACTGTGATGCCACCTGTCCTGATTTCCCGCGTATAAAACAGTAGTTTCATTGAGCTGCGAGACGATTTTCTAGAGGTTACCTATCCCAAATTAATTTTAATATATATATATATGTTTTCTAATAATGTATATATTTAAAATATTTATATATATGTAATTTTAGTCAGTTTTTTATTTTAAATTCTATTTTGTAAAGTATCGTTTACGTAATATGGCTTTTTGCGCTGCAGTAACGTGCCGTAGCACTTACAGAAGTGTGAAAGGATGAGATATTTTATTTCATGGGACCAAAGGATCCAAATGAAAGTTTGCTTTTGACGAAAGAATGGATACACAAATGTCAAAGAGAAGATTCTATTAATGTGAAGAGCGGAAAAATCTGCAGCGAACATTTTCTATGCACTGTTTATGAAGATGATATGAAAGATCGCTTGTTTTGGATAGCCACAAAAGAAACTGTTGAAATGGAATGCTGTGCCGAAAGTAAATTATGATGACAATAATAAATAATTGAAATCAAATGTTAATTATTGAAACAAAACTCGCAAATGAAAATGTAGATATTTCTGAATGTCCTAAGTTTAAGGATAAACAAGAATGCATTGATAATTTGAAAAACAAAATAATATCCTTAAGATTAATTGTATTAAAGTATTGAAAAATAGAAAAGAAAAATTTTAGAATGTTTGTTCAGTGACAAAGAAGGTGAACGACATCTAAAAAGAAATTGGTATCAGAAATTAAAATCTCAAATAGCGAAATTTGGGGGGGGGGGGGCATAACGATCAGAGAATTTGGAAAAACGTCTAAAGCCTTTTTTCTTATATAAAGACGCAGATTAATGCATTACTTGAAAAAGAAGGAAAAAATCAGGTGGACTAGTGAAAATATTTCACGTTGCATCGTCATAAGAGCTCTGTCATCTTAAAGCTATGATTTTTGGAAAGAAAAAAAATTAAGAAAAAAATTGAAATATCTTTACCTAGTATTATCAAATTAAAGAAATGGTGTTTATATTATTTTTTATTGTTTTCTAAATTTTAGTGTAGTCCAAGAATTCAAAGTAATGTTCTTACTCTAAAGAAGGAAAGAGGCGAATGTTTGTATTCTGTATGAAAAATATGCGTTCTCAATTTCGACGAAATGCATATAGATTGAAAACTCTGCTATGACTCTAAACTGGACTAAGTTGGTTCTTTTCAAAATGTGCAGTTTGTTTTAATCAGAGGTCTCATTTCGCGCTCTGCCTCAAATTACTGAGAAACCGCGTTTTAGATAGAGAATTTGTTTTAGAAGATGTAACTGTTTTAAATTTTGATATTATTAAAGAGGTTTTAAATAGAGATTGAGAAGAAATCAAATTGTGTCACAAACTAAAACCAAATTATTTAATGGTCAAGGGAAACGAGAGACAAAAAGTCGCTCCAGAGAAAACATTATTTTCAAAAAGTACCGCAAAAGGTATACTCTACCGCACAGGAAATCAGAAAGCATCTGACTTCTGTGAGTTAATCGATAATATCTCGGTATTATGAATAGTACCATTAAACAAGAATAACAAGTATTTAACAAACTAATTTTGTTAAGTACTTGTTTAAAGTTATTCTTATTGTATCCTTTGTAACTAATTATTGATTAGATTTTTGTGCTAGATTAGCATTCTAGATAAAATACAATAGTATAAAACATCAAAGTAATTGGCATAAAATGACCTGCTTCCTTTACTCACACTTTTGAAAAATTAAATAACTGTTTTAGGTACTCTGAATAAAGCTATTTTGTCAAAATTAAGGTAACAATCTTATATACATTTATTTAATTGTAATATAGATATAAGTATAAATTACAAAATTATTTTAAAAATATCTATTATATTGAATCGGAAGAGAATTATAACAATGTAAAATTTACAATTAGGCAAAAAATCAAACGTAGGTTAGCAGAAATGTTGCCATATATGTCATATATGTTTAAACCTATGTCAATGTAAAGTTGTTTTCTTAGTAAATTTAAATAGCTGCTATTATAGTTATCTTAGAAGCAGTATAAGAATCCTCTCAGTTAGCATGCAAATAAAGAAATGATTAGTAATAAACGTGCATTAAATAAAAAAAACCTGCAAATAAAAAAATAAAAAAACCACGGAACTTTATGTTAAAAGAGGAGCACATTTTATCTATTATTTTAAAGTTGAGTAAGCATTATTAAATTTTTTAATGGTTCAGTCTAAAATGCATAAAGCAGTAACATTGCCTCTTCCAAATTATAGCTATCTTTCACACACAGCTCATTTTAAACGCTGGTTCAAAAACGCTAATTTCCAAGCTGTGAATTATATTGGCGCGCTCAGTGTCATCATGGCTACGTCATCACTTCTCACTTTCTGCTTTAGGGGGAAAAGCTCTATGAGCTAGTCCTTCTCTTCTAAGTCCTGCCGGCTCGCAGGTGCATTATCCCGGTGGAACCCTCTGAAGGAAAAGCTACGGGGAGCTCGCCACTTCGGTCGACTTCTAGGGGTCTTTCCGTGAATCGAATTGATCCCCGGGCTTTCCCGAAAAGGGAGGTAAAAACAAGACGGTATAGTCAAAGAATGCGTATTGAACAATAGACGTTCTTTGGTATACTCTTAACGGAGCCTAGTGCAGTAAAGACTCTTTTCAAAATGAAGAAAAAGGTTATGTTTGAATATTTCCATACCAAGGACTCTTAGATAAAAGTTAATTGATGATATAATGAGAAACAACAGGATTTAAAATAGGTTGAACTGGATCCCTTAGTATAGAGATCTACAAAAATTCGAAATGGTGTCTTTTATTCTTGTCCTGATTTTGCAATCTGCTTCCCTCTGTTTATTTCACTGATCATTCTTCCAGTAGCTAAAGAATTTATATTAAAAAAACTGTTAATATCTGGAATTCCTAATAGATATTTATAGTTTGTGGAATTCTTAGAAACATATTGCCCAAATATATGACGTATTTCATTTTGTGTGAAAAATACTGAGCTTTCCGTTTTATAGCATATATTATTTTCTGCATATTCTTCATCATTTTTGTACCAAATGTTTAGTGTTATAAAAGTGTTTATCGGTTTGCATTCTTTTTATGCTCTGTGAATTCGAATAATATGCTTCAAAACATATGACATAAAAACTAACATTTTCAACGCTTTTAAAGAAGACATTTTAGCTTTTCTTAGTGAGTTCGTTTAAGATGCAGCTTTAATGTATATATATAGTTTTTATATAAAATGATAGATATAGCGCATATTGCTTAATATATAAAATGATGATTATATATCTTAATGTATGAAATATATATATTGTGATTAAATGGCTTAATATATATATTACATTAATCTTCAATTTTAATGTTTATGTACTAAGACTAAACAAAAGACTTGATCAAACACATTAATACATAAAGGAAATGCAAACCAAAAATGGAGATATAAAATATCTTAGTGAAATAATAAGAATATGTGTAACGCGAGTTTCACTTCAATTAATTAAAATAATAACTATATTATAATTAAGAAGTTTTATAATATAGGACATAGTTATTGTTTATTTATAGTATCCATTCATAGTGTACACGCTGAGCTTATCTCTAGTTAATTGGACATCGAATTTAAAATATTCTCGGCGCACTCTAGTGAAAAATTAAGGCAACACGGTAACGATGTAAGAGAGAAGAAAATAGTCAGTGGAAAACTGTACAGTGTCATGTAATCACTATGAATCGATATCCAGTAATTTAGTAAAACGCAATAATTAAAAATTATAAATAATGACCCATTCTTTCCATGAAATATGTGGACAAGACAACAACAATAACACAGTCACCTAATTTTTAAAAATATACTCGAAATGGACCGGAAAGAATGCTAATTTCACTTATCTTGGCATTATCAGAAACATCCCCCTTTTTTCAGGAGGAGGGAAGTAGTTTTTTGCGTGTTAATCTTAGAGAATTTTCTTAATGACTTTCCTTTTGGGGGGGGGCATGTGACAGCAGGTCAGTGAAGAAAACTTCACCTACACAGACCTGCATTTAACATCAGGTCAATGTATATGAAGATGGTGTTAACACTGAAGCAGAATTTTTGTTGCTGAAGCGTACGCAAAGTATCCTCTTTTACAATTTATTAGGATGAAGTTCAAGCTAAATTTCACGTTAAATCCCCAAAAAAAGGCTGCTATTAACACACGTTTGTTGTTAAAATTGGTGTAAATTGTTAACAGGTGTTGGAGGACTAGATTAAAAAAGAACTGAAAGAACTGGTCTATGCTTACAGGAGGTAAGAAGTTTGTTCCAGCAATCTCCTATAGTGAAACTGCATTTATTGCCTCAATGTTACATGTACGTCCATGTTACATACATATAAATAAGAACAGTATTGTGATAAAATTTGATCTCGGTATAATTTATTTGAGATTTCTATCATCGAATGCAAATCGTTCACATAAGATGTCGCTTTAGCACAAACACATAGGTATGTCCAAACCATTGTCCTTCCAACCCTGAATATGGAGATGAAAAGTCGCTGGTTAAGTTCAACACGCCCAGAAAATTTTGAGCAAACTGTATTCAACGCGTATACGGAGATGTTATGAAATATGGCAGAAATTCATTTGCAAATACGTTTGTATTAAAAACAATGCATTCTGTGATTGATTTAACATTCGATGACAAGAGTATTAGTGCAGAGATACCCTGTATGCATCCAAATGTCGATTCATAGCATTTAGATCACCTTATTCAGTTTGTAAACGACCACTTTTTTCTATTGATCTTCACTGAGAATTAAATTTGAAAATTCTTTAGTTTCTAGCTAGGGGAATCGGAAATCTCTTTCATTCGATCAAGCGTGTCCTGCTTATTAGAGACAAATTTAATGGCAATGGAATTCTTCATTTCCAAAAAAGAATTGTTTTGGGACCTTTCCTCTGTTTTATGCACATTCAGTGAATTTCTTATTATGACCATTTCCCTTAGAAGATCATCTCTCAAAGTTACTAACATTTCTTAGCATATAATTGAATAAAGATATGAAACAATATTTTAGTTATGTTTTTTTCAACAGGGAGATAGATATCTTTTGAAATCAAAATTGCCTGGACTCATGGTTAGACGAATCAAAGAGATTTCAATGTATGTATATCATTATTGATAATATTATTTTCTATTCATTTGCGCTATAATTTAAATTGTGATTTTTGGCTTGATTGTGAGAATTTTGAAGCCGTAAAAATTAAGATATTCGTGTAAGTGTATGCATGCAATCTAAAAATTCAAAGTTAAAATTACCGTGATTGTAAAACACTTTTTTTGAATTCTAAATCATTATTCTTTTAGCTCCAGAACCTGCCTTTTTTTAACCTGTTTTAAAATTTTTATTGAATGATTTATCGCTTCCTCAATTACTTCGATCATTTTATTTTCTAATTATCTTCTTCATATTTATGTTGTATATATATTTATTATATATATTTATTATTTATCTTCTTCATATTTATGTTGCATTCAACTATTACAAAAAGAGAATTTTTATTGAACAGCTGTTAATGTAAAAGATCTCTGTATGTTTCTATTTTCTGCATTCTGTAAATTATCTTACAAAGTTCTTAATATGGATGTCTGACCTTACCTTCAATAGGTACAATAAAAACATAATATTTGAATTTGTCTCTTTCAACCGAAAAGGATTTAATTTTACATTTTATTACAATATTACATATATATATTTTGAAGGACTATGAGACGATCTCATGAGAATACAAAAATTTGGGCATCAAATTATTTTTCAGTTTGAAATGTAAGTGCATTGATCTGTATAAATTAATTTAATTCTGATCTAAAAAGATGCAATATATATAAAAGCTTAGAAATAATCATTATTATTACGCTTAAGAACAAACCTTTCGAAGTTAGCTGAGGTGTCTTGAATTTCTTCGGCAGATGATGGGTAAGATGAATTATTAGAAGTCGGCATAGAGTTACTATTATTACTATTGCTTGGATTGACCACCCAAAGTGGGGTTCTTGCTACAACAGACTGATGAGACGACACCTGAAATCATGAAATGCAAAATCACTACATCAATATGATTACAAATTTATGAAAAAGAGTCCCACATTCATTCAAATACAAATTAACATGTAAGAGAAAGGAAACAAATATTAAACTTAATGTTTAAGAGAAGGGGAACAAACAACTAAATTATATTATGTGACACGCTAGTCTTACAATTTTATCTTCCGTATGAACGAATTTAACTTGTTATATATAACTCAAAGCAAGTCTTAGAATCCTGCAATCCTGCAAGGAAACAAATTTTCAGTCGTTTCCCATGTTCTCTCTTTTGCATTTCAGCACGATCTAATTCAATAAACGAGATTTAAGCTATTTAGCTCAATACATATCTTAAAATCCATCTGCTAACTATTCAAAATCGGTTAAGGCTAAAGTAATGATAAAGATTTATTTACTTTTTAAGCAATCTTATAGAATACAATATTTTTCTTCAGTTAGAGTCATAAACAAGTCTCTAACATTTGTATTTACGAATGAAAATATTCTAAGTTTTTACTTATTTTTTAATGCATTAACTTTTTTTATTCATTTAATTTTACATTTACTTTTGCACTTTTGCTAATTTTTTCTGTCTATTTTATAAATGTATAAGTGACTTACGATTAAATGACTTAGATGAAAGTAGATCGATTTAATGATTTAGCAATAAACTTAATCATGACTTTCACGTTTAAGTAAAACGAATATTAGAATGAATGATCGATTTCAGTTGGTATTAGTTTCCTTGCAGAATTCTAGAACTTGCTAGCTGTAAGAATCTGGATTTTATAGCTAAAGGAAAGAATTTTTTTTAAGGACAAGGTTCCTTAGAGATAATCCATGTTAAATCAAATTAGTGAGTGAACAGCATTAAAATATAAGCTGTGTCTCCCTTCAAGTTCAATTAAATTTTGAATTCAGATTGTAAATAACTACCTGAAGCTGTCAGTGATATTTTGAGACTAAAACACGTAATAGTATATTGATGTCTATAGGACTCAGAAAACACAAGCCAACTGACATAATCATTCCGCTAAGGTTTCAAAGCAGCCGAAATTGGGGAACAGCCTTCTAATGTAACTGTTCGCGGAGCACTGACCGGAGCATTTCTACGAAGTTGACAGCAGAGAAACAAATATTTGTAGCTGCGGGGAAAATTGTTATCTACAGCACTATTCGAACGATTGTGATTTAATTCAATATCTGAATGCGTCAGGATCATAAGCAAAAAATGCATAGACCTGGTGTAAAATCTCTCGAGACTCTGAAATATATGGTCATGGGATGCACAAGTGAAATTTCGTCACATTCAAGGTTGGAGCACATGAAATTTTCTAACAGCACTAATACTCTTCTTGATTAGTTATGATTCTTGTTACGTTACAGTTTCTTGACAAGTTTCACTTCTTGATTAGTATAGCCGTGGACGGTCCTCTGTAGTTTTAGGTTTTTTGGGGTTCTTCGTAGGAATGTTATCTAAAATGAATTTCACCTTTATTGCAGCATCTGAAAAGAAACTACATGCAGTCCACAACCAGTTTCGATATCGGCAATTCCGTATTACTACACAATTTTAAAGTACTACTTTGCCGATGTTATATAAATGAAACTGAAAGATGGAAAAAACTGATGAGGATGTAAAATAAAGCCATTTTGGAAGCGATAGAGCATATTTATAAGTGTAACCAAAGCCGGAACCGAAGTTCAGTTGTCGAAGGACATAATGAGTTAGAAATGAAGATACCTCGACCCCACAGTTCTTTTAATAATCATATCAATAGATTATTTTACACGATTTCGACTTTGTAATCAATATACCATCATTTTCTCAAACTTTTCAGTCATGTCTTTATAGAAGAGAAAAAATAAGCTTTAACGTCTGGTAAGAGTAAAAAACTCTTAAGATTAAAATAAATTTGTAAAAAGTCTGGTTAGAATTCGAAATTCCTTATAATGGATTTATTACAAGGAGCAATTAGTGCCATATAGCATGCTTATTTCTCAACATAGCCCTCAAAGTGTGTCACTGTTAATTCATACAAGCACTTGAGCCACACAAGCAAGATATTAGCATAGCAAATTCGCATCGGAAAAACAAACAAATCATATTAATCGTCAGAATTTGCAAATCGTCAGAATACGCAATTAGCTCATATTCCTTATCAACTCGTTCCCACAGCGGCCGAATTCTAAAATCGCTGAACACTGGTAGTTTGACCCGGGTGCAAATTCTGGATATCTGACTGGCTGCATAGACTTCTGCGTGGTTTATCCCGTATGTAACAATAGAACATATCAGTCTTGCTTAAAGTGTTCTCCAAGAAAGCAATCTCCTCCTTTAGATAACCCTCGCATGCTTTGCCCTAGTCACCCACCCCTTAAAATCCTCCTCAACAACTCCTAGATGGAGGCTCGTTAATAATGAAAGGACGCCCAGAGAAACATAAATTCAGAGTATTCATTGATATTTTGTTCAGTCAATAGTTGGATAATGAAATTTGTTCCTGTGAAAACGTAAAATTGTTATAGGAGAAGCATGGAGCAAACAGTATTGTATAAAAGCGGAATTACAAGCTGAGCAAAGACCTAATCTGAAGTCCGAAAGTATCTTAAAGCAAAAGATATAGAAAAGAGAATGCTCTAGCATACGTCTCTAAAATTGGAACATAGCTAAGAATATGCAGTCAAAAATTGAAAATGATGAAGGATAGTTCGTGATTTGAACACCAGAAACTAATCGGTAATATTTTTGAAAAATAATATTTCAACGAAGAAGACAGAAAGCCACGCATAATTTTTTAAATCCACCAACATTTTGCTGCCAGTCCGAACCGAACCCTGGAAAACTGATAAAGAAAAATTAAAAATATTTGCAAAACAGGTTTAATGTACTTATCATTAAATCTGTTTTGCAAATGTATAATATGAAGATATTTTAAAATTAGTATTTATGCATTCCATCCTAAAATTTTGCTAAAGTAAATAATCAGGTATAACCAATCTCAAATTTCTTGAAAAATAATAAAGAAGAGCGGTTATGCGCGGAACTGCTTTCATCAAAAACTTGTTATTATTAAAGTACAGTTTGGTTAATTTTCCCCGCTAATAAAGTACTCAGAATGTAACTTGTTGACGGAAGTACAAGTACATTTGTGCGAGTGTTTTTCCCAGTATTGTTTATGTAATACTAATAATTCTATATCAGCATCATATGACTGTTTTCAAACTATTACATTACAGAACAAGCAACTATTCAGTAAATACAGGAGCATGGTTACATGGGTATCTAAAATTGAAGTTATATCAAACATATTTTTGCAATAATTCAAAATACCTATAACTAACATTTAAAAAATTAATGTTACATATTATTTGGAAACGCCGAATGTAGTATAAGCATCTGGTGGTTTTTAAAAGGTTACACGTTTTGACTGGTTTCTGAATCTGTTAAATACAACTATAAAAATATAATTCTGGGAAGAAAAATCATGACCGACTGATTTCAGTTAAAACGAATTCTCTCAATCGCCTATAAAATGGAATGAGAAGAAAAAATCAGCAGCTTATACGTAATAGTTTAATATTTTATTTTGTATATATGTATTTCCTGTAAATTGGTATGACATAAGCTCGTTTCCAAATCATTATTCAGTAAGTAAATATAGATATACTATGGTGTAATTAAATCTAAAGTATGTTAAATTTCGAGCGACTAAAATTTGAAATCTCTTCCTAGAAGTGTAAAATCAGTGCAGGAATGGTGTGAAAATTCAACCAGATTGAATCTGCTGAGTCAGAGATGTCTCCGCCAGTTGAACAAACAAATTGTAAGCTCCCATTGGCAGGTAGGTGTCTTTCTGTAAACGCAAAAGGAAAACAGAGGATGGAAGCAACACTGTTAATCTCTCTAAAATCCACATTGAGTTTATGACAGATTTGAAGTACACTTTGTAGATTGTTTTGGTTTAGAACTGGCTGCACCTATAGTGATTATGCTCAAAGAGATGGTAAATGTTTCTTATGTTGTAAATAAAAAGATGAATCATTATCGTGTAAGCACAAGTATTTGAACTAAAAGATACTAAAGAAATTACTCATTTCGAGTACTTAAGTATTCATATTTTTAAAGTTTTTTTTAATTTAGAGTTAATTCGATTTTTGTGTGTATTTTTGATAATATGTGATTTTAGTGCGGCTCCTATAATTATACAACTAATTTAGAATTTCTCAAAGATTCTCAAGAAAAATTAAACTGTGTTGTTATTTCTTATCCTTACATTCTTGGAACAGTCTCCAGATAGCCTACGAATTTTACTATGGAGAAATGAAAGAGACCTACTGCTGGTCAAGGCCTTGTGCTCCTTATGGTAACAGGAAGAATCTGCCCAGTTCCGTCCTTCCTAATTATGCTGTAGAACACTCATGTGGACGGATCTAAGGGTCTCCAACTCCTCTTCATAATCCTTCTTAATGGTAACCATTAAACCTCCCAAGAGGATTTTCGACTCGAGGTGTTTTATATGCTCCCATGACGCAACGATAATCTTTATTAAGAAATATTCATGCTTTCTTCAAAATTTGAGCACGGGTCTGTCAATATTTCTGCGGACATCACTAACCATCATGCTGATCAGGAAGACAAACCAAAATGTTTTAAACAGAGAATGAAAAAGATAAATTATTAAGTTTATGGATTTTCGATAAGCAATCTCTCTCGCTATGTCAGTTAATGGACTCGCGGTGACTTAATCATAATTTCGATAAAACTTAGGCTATTGAGTTTTTACTTTTTTGTGTTTTTTAGTAATAGTCGTTAGAATTAATTGTGTAGGAATAGCAGTTTACTAATTCGTCTGTTAGTTCAAAGATAAATCCTTCGTAAAATAATTCGTGAATTTCGTTGGGTTAATGCATAAGGCATATGCATAAGGCTAACGCAGTTTTTTTTTTAAAGAAAAACTGTGAATTTTGAAAAAGTAAGACACAGGATCTCTCTTATTGAGGTCGTAAAAATATTCTTCATTTTGAACTAGGAATATATTATTCAAGTAGGTAACGTAAACAGTACAAATAATAATAAAAAAAGAAACAACCACAGGGTCCCCTGTGGTCTAAAACAGAAACAAAAGGAAAACTTGGGCTAAACGAGGATTCGAGCCAGGGGGTGCAAATGATTTAAAATTCATAAATTAAGTTAGACTAGAATACACTCACCAGCGGTTGAGCGGAAAGAGAGGTTAACACCAGTAATTTTGCCCAAGAGTTCGAATCACAACAAACTGAGTAGCTACATGAGCATTTTCATGATTTTTCACAGGTATCTGTGTGAGATGGATACGTGAGAGTTTCTTTTAAAAAATCTTCCACGAAAACATCCCTTTCCTTAAGCAGAGAGTTGGAATCGAATAATCGCGTGTTTTGTCCTAATCGAATAAGCAAGTTCTAACTTAAGTAAGTAGAATGCAATGCTCACTTGAATGGTGGGAAGGGATCAGTCGTAGATGAAAATCTTCCCCGCTTCCAAGCTTGGATTTCCTAGCTGCATAGTATTTATGCATTGTTTGCTCTTAGTTCTCATTTCAGTTTTTAAGACTAAGAATAAAGCCGCGTAGCTTTACAGGAAAACCTTGCTAATCGGTCGAAGTTTTGCAAAAAATGAAATATTTTCTTTTAGTTTAGGGCAAAGTTTTAAAACTGTTTTCAATTTTTAAAAAAATGAATTTTATATGTCAGAATTTTTTAAGTTGCTATATTTTTTTATTTAAATCGGCAACGACGGGGGGCATCCCCTCCTAACTACGCGACTGTTAACTGAACAAACGATGAGATGGAATGCATTTATATTTAAATTTTAATCTGTATCTCTTTGCTAGTAGAGCTTAGTTAAGCTCGTGGTGAAAATTCACTCGAGAACTTTAAGTAACACCTAGGTAAACTGTACTTGTCCTAGTTAAAATTAGATTAAGTACCAGATAAGTGTTACAGTTTGAAATCAGCAAGAATGGAGCTGAGGTATGTATTCATAACTAATATTTCGCACTGATAACAATTATTGTCATTCATAATTGTTTTGTGAAATCAGGAGAGTCTGATTTAAACAAAATTTAGAAGGAAGATTAATTCTAGAAGTTCAGTGTGATAGAAAGTTGAAATATTTTATACTTCTTCACACAGCAGTAAAAAGCCATTATTGTTATTTTAATAAAGTGGTTTAACATTATGTAGCAGTATAAATATAAAGAATCATGAATTCAACAGTCTCCAGAGTTTGACGTATTCTGAAATTTTGGTGACGCTTACTTAAGTGGTTCTGTTAATATGCAAATACTGATTTATTTGAAAGCAAAATTGAATATAAGCCAACTTATTTACCTTATCAAATCTTGGTATTTTGGTCACAGGTGGCGAATGGCATGGTTCATCCGCTATGTTGTGCGAACTACAAGAATTTTCTTTTTCAAATGAAGGAGAAATAGTTGAATTTATAAATATCTGGCTATATCCTTGATGGTTTGCATCCAGATGCTCTTGACAACTTGAAGAAATAAATCCCTGTGAAGCTTTGTTGGGTATACTGAATGTCAAAACTTGATATTTAGCCTAGAGGAACAAAAATTAAGCGATTTTAATATATTCATCTGATACCAATGCGTTCAAAAAATTAGAATTTCAATACGATTATCTAATTATAAATTAAAAGAAAATAGAGTATAATTTTAAGATCGTGTGCTGCTCTCTGAACTGCTGTTCCAAATTTAAAACATCTTAAATTTATAAAAACCGATTTATTTTTGAGTTAAATTATTGTTTCTAGAAAAATTTATCGTCAAGTCCTTTTTACTTCTTTGTACGAAGTAAAGTAAAAGAAGTTTTGTAATTGTAAAAAATTTCGAGTTTTACATTTCAAGTCATTATGATCGTCCCGAATCCATTTAGAGACTTTTTTTTGCATGACATCTGTAAATACGGACAGAATAAAGGACTCCTTATTCTAAAATGGATAGATTTTCGTGATATCTGTACGTACGTATGTACGCGCATATATCTCACATAACTCAAATACGATCAACCATAGACTATTGAAATTCTCTATATGAAACTGCTATAACATCTAGTTGTGCACCTCCCATTTTTATGGCAATCGGCGGTACTAAAAGTATACCCTGGTTTTCATTAAGGAAAAATCTTCAAAATGACGATTATTCAAAAAGCTACATTTAGACTTTAATGAAACTGAGCCACAGTATGCAACACATAGTAAGTTATAAAATAACACGCAAAGAAATTACCAGACTATTATGGTGTGCGATTCTGTCAATTATGTAGTAGTAATAGTAGAGAGCCATTGTTCTTGCAAAGCAGTTGCAACCATGGCAAAGTCTGAAGAGGATGACTAAGAGTAACTATACGTGTTTCTAAATCATCCCAAGCATGCTCGATAGGCTCGATAGGTGATCGAGCTCGTCTCTCCTTGAGCTGGATTGTTTGCTAGTGGATATAATCATCCACGATTCGAGCTGTGTGTTCTAGGGTTGTCGTCTTGTATCAAGAAATTATCACCTATTGCCCCGGCATAAGGGGCATATGAGCATCAAGGATGCCATCTCTAAACAAGCCTGAGCATTCATAGTTCAACGTGGAAAGACATAGCGGTTTGTGCATCCACCCAAAGCAATACCTCTCCAAACACAGACACTGTCTCCTCTGTAAGCATCTCTCTCACGGATGTTTGATGCATGATAACGGGTTCCAGATTCTCTTCAAATCAAATAACGCCGGCTGTCGCTATGAAGGCTAAGCCTGGACTCATCCATACAGAGAATAGCCCTCCATTGATCAGCTGTTCAGTGGACCTCAAACGTTCCCTTCTATGACGTGATGTGAGCGGCATGTCCTTCGTGCGCATAATATCGGTCATCAGCTCTCGTCGTAGGGGTTGGCCATTCTTGGCTGAGACTCCTGGATGCCGAATCTGTGGTTAGAAATTATTGCCAAAGTCTATGAACCATAGGACTCACATTTAACCATTTGACCACTTCTACTTGACTTTATTCTGCCTCTAGTCTCCCAATTGGTCTCCATAGCAGTTCTTGGGGCAAATGATACCTGGAGGTCATTGTTGCAAAACAGCTATCCCATGTTACAAATTGGCTGTTCCAAATTTCTTATCTCAGTGTCACAGCGAAATTTACAGGCTTGCTCTGAAACAGAAATTTTATGGACCTCGCAGATGACGTATTTCGATTGCAGCTCCACTAATTTGCACACTGCATTTTTACTAAGCAATTTTTATTTGACAACATATTGAAATTTTACCCAGATTGGCTTACTTTGTGATTTTTCCTTAATTTTTGGAAACCAGTGTTGGTGTGTATATATATATATATATATATAATTACCCCCTTTAATCGTCTTTAAAAGTCCTTACTCGGCTTTATTTTTGAAGTTATTGGTCATAAACATGTACATCGAGTTACAGAAGTGTTTCAAATGCCAAAAATATTCATATTTTAGCAATTTCAGATTTAAAAAAAAATTTGAACAAATAATAAAATCTAAATTTCAAATTATCACCTATTGTCCCGGCATTAGGGGCATATGAGCATCCCTGTTCGTATACTTATGTTTGGGAAAATTTCATGCTCTTTGTTAAAAAAGAAGCTACTTACGTATTATTCCACCGACCGTAAAAGCTGGCTATCATCGAATTATGGAGTTTGGCTGAGATCATGCCCAAGTTTTGTTAATCGTTCCTGCAGGATTCTGAGCTGCACTTTTAACAATAAAACATTAGTCTAATAATAAAACATTCGTCAATCTCTCTACACTATTCACCAAATAGCCACTGCTGGAGAAAGTTTTCGACTCGCTTAGCTTTTGCGTTTCGTTAAAAGGTTTTTGTCGATTTATATCTATTTTTTCGATCTATTATTTTTACGTCGACTATATCCAGCTGTTCTTTCCTTAGTCAACAGATGTTAACTATATCGATCAGCAATAAATGGACCGGAGTGTACTCACAAATACGATTATACAGACCTCAGATTCCTTTTTTAATGTGAGGGGGGACATTAAGCAATAACATTTAATTTATATCCTTGTTCTCAGTTGATTTTCAGTAAGCCAAAAGCAGCTTATTGAGAATCAGACGAACGTAGTTGTTATGAGTGTGCTGTGACACCACGCTTATTCATATTTACCACTAAATCGCATTGCTTGGCTACAGTTTAACGGTCAATGGGATAATACGTAGGTACCAAAAATAAAATACTGGATATTGGCTCCTGTACGACAAAAATTGAGCTGGATGTTTAATTTCAAAATTTGCAAGTTATGTCATTTTCAACTTGAGGAATCGGTTAATTAAGTTAGAATATTTCGAGAAAATAATTTTAAATGAAGTACAACAAACAAGGTGTAAAATTTAATAGGCGTACAAGGAAGTGATGTAATGTCCACACCAGACACTTTTTTGTGAAATGTCTAAAACTAACCAGGCATTCAAAGTATGTCGTTAACTTTGATTGCATTTTTACGCGTTTTATAATGTACCTAAAAGTTCTTAAATTATGTTTACTGATATCGCAGCCAAACGAACCTTATTCTTGGTTAAGTTTCTGAAATTTTCTCAACAGAGAAACTTGCCATTTTTGTCTATACTTTGGAACTATTAAGGTACGTTTCTGATTGGTTCTACCTGGGCAAATTTTTGGAAACATGTGTTTTTTAAATCTAGCTATTGAAATGAAGAGTTGAACTGCTTAAAGGAAGTTTCATACTGAGATTTTTATTAGTGGTACAACATTTAAAACTATGAAAATGTTGCCCAGGAAAAAAATAACGATGAACGTAATAATACTGTTTTGGAATCTTCTGTAATATTCTTCAATCGCTGTTACCTACATTGATTACTGGACATTATCTTTTACGGCTACTTGCTTGCAGTTAAAATTCCTCTATTTCTTTACAAATTAAGCAAATTTTAAGAAATCGTTTTTCATTTTAAATTCTAATAATAATTATTTATTATTAGATTCTAATAATAAATAATTTCTAAATAATTAATATAATCAAGAATTTTCTGAATTGGGAAATTTAGAAGAAAACTTTAAAATTAATTAAAATTATTAATAATCTAGCATTAATATCGCTAGTAACTCTTTCCGAATTAAGAGTAGTGAATTTTATAAGAGAACACCCATTCAAATCTTAAGCCATCTAACCACTATCTCTGATATTTGCTGATCACAGAAAGTGGGAAAATGTGCATATAACCAACCAATGCATCATAAATTTGTTTACCAGTTCAAGATAATATTACAGTCTCTCAAGACTTACAGAAGTGATTTCTAACCTTTCTTGTGCCTCGCAGCTCTAGGGAATGTTTGATTAATGACAGCGGTCTCTACAAAAGAAATATCGTTCCTGCAAATTACGAGGTTAAAGCTTTAATGCTGATAATGCGTTTATTGATCAAGAGTTGAACTGTTTAATACAAATACTGCAGTAAAATTGTCTTTCGATGCAGCCGCTAGCATTTTGCAGAATCCATTTCCAGTGATGTGCAAGTCATTTGTAGCAACTGCCTGTCATCGTACATTTGTAGCAATTGCCTGTTCTATTGATGTTTCAAATACAGCTGTCTACTGCACAAAAAATATCTGTGGAGGACTTTGGAAACCAATGCCTCAAAGTGGCTCCTTCAGCTTAGAAATCTAATAACTCTACTATCAGGTTCATATTAACACGTTACCTCTTTGTTTTTTTATTTCCTGTATCTTCTCTTTCTTTGATCAGCACTGACTAGAGTAACACTAGGAAAGTTTAAAATAACCTTCGAATTTGGATTTTAGAAGAAGTAACCCTTCGGTATCACGTGTTAGACTGAGATGACGAGTTACTCTCTACTGGCTACCATACAATCTAACTTAAGAGAGCTGACTTTACAAAAAGGAATAATAAGAGCAAGTCGGGAAAGTGTGGATTTCTCAGTCTTAACGAATCAACAAACCAGCCAGCAATTACTGTAAATAACCGAGCATTGTTTGGCAAAGTGATGGAAAGATTCTACAGAAAGTGCCACAGAATATTTTTCACCGCTGGTGACGTCAAAATTTTCAGTAATGAACGGAAATGCATTGGAAATCTATCCTTCAGATATGTTAGACATTAGGATAATGTCTTCACAGTCTTAGATGAGAATCACTATTAAATTCATACTATTGAAATTCTGTTGAACTTTAGATTTTTGTAGTTACCCATAAGGATGTTACTTTTCCGATTGGCTTTTCAGTTTTAGCTCGTACGATCTGGTCCATGTCTCATTAAGTATCTCATGTGTACATTAGAATAGCCATTATTAAATCTCCAAGACATGTATGTTCAGACTTACAAGACATGTATGTTCAGATGTTATTATCCGTTCAATGATGAATCACTATGACATGAGTACACCCTATGACTAGTGATTCATCATTGAACGGATTCTGGATGAAAAATTGCATTGAAGTTCAAACTGTGGAAAGACAGTTAGTTGGGAAAAAATTTCAACTTGCAATATCAAGATGGTAAACAAATGCCAGGTTTGATCTGATAATCTAAACACTTTCAATATTGGAAATTAAATGGCTGATCAAATCTTAAATGAAAAATTTCTGTTCTTATTTATCTATATTGAGAAGAATTCATGTAGTATTTATAATTATGATAGAGATATATAGAAAAATTTGTATTTTAAATAAGAGGTGTAAATAAAAAAATAGGCTGTATCACAAAATATTTTAATACTGGATTTAAAATTACGTAAAAAGAAAAAGTTGTTTCGATTTTTTTATAGGAATCATGATCACTGTTTTCTCTAATTTTTCTTACAGCTTCAGGGAACAAAATTACATTTGTGTGGGAAGTGCAGCTGTGCAGGGCATAATAATTCATTACGAAGCACACACATTATGGAAATATTTGAATTATCCTGAATATTTTGTATGTTCAATCAACGAGTGCGAGAGACATAAAATTAGCCGACTAACAAGAAATCATTACGCGAGTGCACATCCGTGCAGTTAAGATAAAACGCTAGTCGTGACAATAGTAAACAAAAACGAGAGAAAAGATACATTTCTCTGAGTACAGAAAAAAAAAAGTGTAGCGAAAAGGAAAGAAATATCGTTCAGTAAAATAATAAAAAGCATAGTTTCCGAACGAAGAAATCTGAAGGCGCAACATCTGCGCTGTATCTGTACTTGAAAGACTCAGAAAATGAGTCGCCGCTGGATCATGCAGTCGCTGGATCATGGAGTCGCTGGATCATCACGAGAATGCGCCAAGCTACATCGCATTTGCTATCATGGATTTTCTGACCAAACATGACATCACACAGTTTCTCCATCCAACCTACAACCCAGATGTCGCTCCTTCAGACTTCTCCCCTTCCCCGACTGAAAAGGGTCATGAAAGGACGGCACGAGGCTTGGTTTAGGCAATTTAAGAGGCCGTAACGAGTGAGCTGAAGAGCATTCCAGTTTCTGCTTTCCAGCGAGCCTTCCGTGATTGGCAGAGTCGCTGGAATCGCTGTATTGATGCAGAAGGGGCATGTTTTGAAAATTATTAAGTTGTATTAAAATTCTGAATAAATTTTTTTAATTCAGTACTACTAATTTCCGGACAAATCCTATAAAATTCATCTCGCTGTACAGAAACAAAATGATAACTATTAAAGACTTTTCAAAGCATTTATGATAATGAATCTCGGTAAACGTGAGCAGATTCCTGTCACGGCAGGAAAGGAGCTACTTGGTTTAAGAACCTGTGATTTGGGAGCTCTGGATAGCACTATAAGTACTATGGAAGCAACTTCACTGAAAGTATACCTCTAGATATCTGGTTATGATTCTAGAATTTTAAGCTAATACTATGTAACTTCTGTTTTTTTCTTCTCCCTCCCCCAACTGAAAAAGAAAAGAATGTACATACGGATTTAACCGACATGCATGAAGAATCTATTGACATGATTCTTGTAAAGATGCGTGACTGTAATATTTGTATAGTAAAGTGATTGTTTAAATCCGGGATTCCCAAAGTGGTCGATATCGGTTTCCTAGGGGTCGACATAAACGAAAACTGATTTTGGGGGTCGACGAGGTCTAAAAATCGACCCCTATTAAATTAACACAAGTTCTTATTTAAAACTTTCAAGATAGGTAGGTACTGTATTGTTTATGTTGTGTTACGTGTACTAAGAATAATTAATATTTTTGTAGGAAACAGCATTGTTGTAGTGATGTAAAGTCTCAAGTTCGTACAAGATGAAGAACTCGGCAAGTCTGTGTGGACAAGTTTGTGCAAGATAATGAGTTCGAGTGTACGTCATTCAGGCGCGTTTTGACTTGCTCTCTATTTGACGCTTACGCGATTTAACACGAGCGAATTCATGATCAAGTCCAAACATGTTCCTGATATTTTACTATTTAACGAGCTTGCACTTAGGTTGAAAGTTCATTTGCGTTTTGAAATTCGTTGGAGCTTGAACGATAATAACTCATATAAGTACTCATTTATTTCAAGAGATTACAAAGTTATTACATAGCTAATTAAGTGAAGTAAAGTGACTGATTACTGAATACCTGTAATATATCTTTACTAATAGCGAAGTCATGGAAACCCCACACAATTGGAGAGCAGCTTATCTTACCAGCCATTGCGGAGGTCCTTAACAATGTATTGCACAAACCCGCACATGATATTTTAAAGAGAATTCCTTTGAGCAATAACACCGTTCAGAGACGCATAGACGAGATGGGACGCGATGTGGAAAACATTTTATGCAAGTTCTTACAGACCAACAGATTCTCTCTCCAGTTGGACGAGTCTACATTACCCGGCAATGAAGCTCTGTTGTTAGGATATGTTCGATTTATCAAAGATGAAAATATGTGCCAAGAACTGCTTTTTGCTACATATTTAGAGACTGATACCAGAGGAGAATCGATTTTTCAGGCCGTGGAACATTTTTTTACTGAAAAAGCTATTCCATGGAAGAACATTGTTTTCTGTTGCGACTGATGGTGCACCGTCTATGGTTGGTCGTCATCGTGGTTTTATAGCTCAATTAAAGCGACAACTGCCTGATGCACTGGTCATTCACTGCGTGATTCACAGGCAGCATTTAGTAGCAAAAAAGATGAGTCCTAGATTGCATAAGTCTTTACAATATGTAATAAATGCTATCAACAAGATTTTTTGAACTCTCGGTTATTTGCTCAGCATGTGAGGAAAACGACGAAGTCTTTACTCGATTACTTCTGCACACTGAAGTTCGCTGGCTATCAAGAGGCTCTTGCTTAGAAAGATTTTCAGCCATTTTTGAATCTGAGTTGGAGTTTTTACAAGAAAAAGATCCGCATTTGAAAGAAAATCTGAACAATTGTAAAACAGATATTTATTACTTGACTGATATCTTTGGAATGTTCAACAAAGTTAATTTGCAACTGCAGGGTGACGATCTTAACTTGATTAAAACAAAATCAATAATATCGGCCTTCGTGGGTAAACTAATCCTTTATAAACAAAATTTAGGCAGAAAAGAATATTCGCACTTTCCGCATTTGTCAAAATTACCAGAAATGCTTCAAGATGATGACATTTTATTATATGTCACTCACTTGGACGCATTACATAAGGATTTTACGGAGAGGTTTGAGGATCTTTTAAATTTACAAATTCCTCAATGGATAATAAATCCGTACAATACCACACATAGAAGAAGCCAATGTGATAATGCAAGAAGAGTTGATTACCATCAGCACAGACGAAGAGCTTAAGCAGAAGTTCAACCAAGGCTATCAGAAGTTCTGGTTGCAACGCAACATTGAAACACAGTATCCTACATTGTGGAACATTGCTCAAAAACGCCTTATCGCTTTTCCATCATCATACCTAGTTGAAAAAAGCTTCAGTGTAGTAACAAACATTTTGACGAAACAAAGAAACCGTTTGAAAATCAACCAAAGTGGAGATTTAAGGCCGCAACTCACCAATAATGAACCGGATGTAGCTAGATTGGTAGAAAGTCACCAGGTTCATCCATCACACTGAATGTTTTATTTTCTCTTTGCGAATTAATACTTTTTTAAATATAATTTCCTACCTACTTAAGATTCTTTAAGTACTTAATTTGTAATAATCATTATAAATTAAGCTTGATATTTACTGAATTGTATGTCTTTTTATTTTGTTAAATTTTGATGAGAAAATGAAGCCAACTTTACTCACTTAACCAAGTGCAAAGTTTTCCAATTGGTACCTTAGTACCTAGGTATTTTGTATCAATAGGAAAAAACTAAAGATAGGCCCCCTTATTCATAATAGTCTGTTAACTTAAAGCATTGCTAATTCTCACTCTGTCTTCTTCTATTGACCTAAGTCAGAATGAAAAATAACACTCTGTAGCAGCTGTTTTAAGTTAGCGGACCATTATGAATAAGGGGGTTGATCTTAAAAGTAGGTAATTTGGCCATGGGGGTCTGAGGTAACAGTTCATTTTGGAAAAGGGGTCACTTGTCCAAAATAGTTTGGGGATCCCTGGTTTAAATGTTCCTTTAAACTATGCTTAAGCAAGCAAATTTTTCAATCGTGTTCTTATTCAACCGCTACTTGCCAGAGTGCTTCTCACTATCACTCAAATTCGTAATTATTTTACTTTTTTATTCTAATCCCAGTAGGTCTTCTCAGTCGTCACTTTAAGAAATATTTACGTAAAATAGGAAGCATTAATGTTTCATACAGTAGTTTGAAAACATACTTCAGGATTTGTAACGGTTATATTTTCAGTCTCCTGCTTCATTTGATTTACATATAATCTGCTACAGTCATCTTTGGACAGAGAGCCAGTTGGTGGGGAAACTATGTTACAGCTCATAGCATTTACATCTTGTGCGGTGCTATTTGATACAGCTTTCAATCGAACAATTCTTACGCTTCCTTTAAAGGGTTCTACAGGTCTGTCGCTTAATGCGCATGGACTTACGTTCTGAAAAATGAAATTTATGAACATTATTCATTGCAAACATGTTTATCTTTAATAACTTTCAAAATTTGCGATTTATAAAAAATGTTACTATTTATATCTAAGAATTTATTTGGTATTTCACTTATGCATAATTCACTATCATGTAGCTCACAAAAAGTAAAAATTGAGTAAATTTAACTTAATTATTGTTAAAAATTTTGATACTATTCCGTTAGAGCGGCGTCAGATAAAAATGCTCCACATTTTTTTTTTTTTTTTTTTTTTTTTTTTTTTTTTTTTTTGGGGGGGGGCTTTTTTTTTTTTTGGGGGGGGGGGCTACCAATTGTTACCAAGTATAAAATTGTGAAATAAAAATAGAGTTCAAGAGACTAAAAAAATTATTTCTGCAAAAAGTAATTTTTTTTTTTAATTTCGAAATTCTTAAAGAAAGTAAATTTTTCTTTTCAACTTTACAATCTAGAGTATTCTACACATAAATAAAAACTAACAAAAAATTTAATTTAATCTAAACAGGAGGCACAAAGAATATTCTACATATAAATAAAAAATAATAAACAAAAGGTGGCATAAAATTACAAATATCATTCAATATTACAGAAAAAAATTCAGTTTTTTTTAATATAGCCGACACCACATAAATCATAAATTCTATCAAATATGACTCTAAATGGTGGCGGGCGCACCAGCGGCCGAAGTCGCTGAACAGTGGTAGTTCGGTCCGAGGTTCGAATCCCGCGAACGGACTAGCTTGCATGGGCGTTTTCGTGGTTTTTCCATGTGTAACGTGTATACGAGCCAGTTTCCCTTAGAAAGTACTCCACGTAGACATCCGTCCCTTTAGGCAGATAGCCCTAGTGTGCTTTGCCATAATTAAATAAACCAAACCATACCAAACCAAACCTAAATGGTGGCGAGCAGTGCCCTCCTCCAATTTATTTCTCCATTTAGCACTGCCCCACAATCGTTCCACAGTTTGGATACAGCATCTAGGTTCAGGGTCTACAAAATTATAATTGTGATTCACAGTGAAATGTTCAACATTTCTTAATTCCTCTTTCTTATATCCTTCTCAGCAGTCTGAAAATATTATGCTGCCATCCGTGATGCTTTCCTGAATGGCAGTCATCAATGTTATAGTAGAACGATCGGGAACAGCGACCAGAAAACATTCTTTGCTTTCTCGGCATAAACCCTCGAATACCTATTGTTCCAGAAGAATATATCCAATGTTGTTTTTTTCTTTTTGGGAAAAGACTTCCGTCTATTTCTACGATTTTGTTGGCTTTACCGATTTTATTTCTTTTACGAGACATCAAGCTATTTGCACATACCTCCCTCAAGTAGTTATTCTAATCTACTGTCCTATTATGGCTGATTTAACTGAAGTTGGCAAAATTCAATCGACGTCAATTTCTGACATTACAGACATATATGAGAAACGGCACAGAGGAAAGGAAGACGCGAGCCTTCAAATCATGTTCTGGTTCTCAATCCTTTATTTTCACAGCAAGAACGTATGTAACAACGCAATACAGGAATTTTGTTTGAGTCAAAAGTTAACTTCATCGAATGATTTTAAGAACAAAGTCAATTGCTCAGAATTATTCCTTTATCCTGAAAGAATCTTATGGCAGCCTCTTCGTCATGAGGTAATTTCCAAATTATGTAGTCCATCGTACTAGAAAAAATAGCTAAATATGGCAAAAAAAAAAATTAGCTTGTTAAAATTTTCCAAACGAAAACTGGAAATCTCGAGTCACGATATTTGACATGCTGTTGTAACATTGTTTTTTTCTCATTTTTTCTTAATTTTTAACTGAACCGCTCTAACGGAATAGTGCCGATTTTTTTTTAATTTAAAAATTTTACAAATTAGAGAAACGCCTTCAATGGCAAAATAAAATTCCTTGCTTTATCATGTTATCACATTTCTTTATAAAGTTATCACATTTTACCTGTTAACAACTCCAGTAGGCAAATGGATACGACTGTAAAATACTGATAGTTTGACCAAAGAGATAGCTGCGGGGATATTTTTGCAGTTTTCCTTATAATTAATGAGAATACGAGAAAGTTTCCCTGAGGAATCTTCTAGGAAGAAATTCTTCTCTTCGGCAGATAGCCCAGATTTTGAAAGATGTAATGGTTAAAAGAAATACTTTTCTGTATTCAGAGACAGCAGCGCTTCATGTTTAGTCCAAAAGGTCTATTATTCTTGAAAAGCGATTATACGTAATCCTTTGCATATGTGTCGATTCACTTTTCTTTCGAGTCTATTGTCATTTGGCAGACTGTAAGACATTTATCTTTCAAATTTAATCTATCTGTTATTGATTGGATTGCAATAGAAAATAATATTTTGTTTACTTTTTTAATTTAATTCATTTAAAAAAATGCATTTTATTTCATGATATATCTAATTAGACAGTATATATTTTTTCTCTTTTCAAATTTTCAGAAGATACGTAATGTCTCCACCTTAGTCTAAATGTATGTCTTCATCTGGTATCCTATAAGTGTTTCGATATTCTGTCTGGGCCATTTCTATTGATAATATTTACTGATAAATTATATTAAAATTTAAGAGATATTTTGGGCTACAGATAATATCTAAACAATTTCAGATTTAAAATTTTTTTTACTTATTTATTTACTATTTTTCTGTTTTCTGAACAGTGTAAAGTAAAATGTATATTAAAAGAGTTTTCTAAGTTGCCTGTTTTTAATTAAAAGCATGAAAGTAATTTTAAAATTATAACAGTTTTGACCATACAACTCCCGTAAAAGCACTGTTTTGGGATGTTAACATAATTTTAAGTAGTTAAAGTGACAGCTATGTCATATAAAAGAAAATCTATATTCAATTAATTAAATTTTTTCTTTTAGAATTTTGATTTAGATTCGTCATTGTATGTAGTTCGGCTATTTTTTTCTAATCGGTCACACATAACAAAAAATACATTGTGGTAAATAAAAAAAATACTTTTGCTCCCCTATGCTTTACTAAGCAATGTATATAAATTAATTACTAAGCAAAGTACATAAATCAAGAACGTTATAACTTAGAAAGATTTTTCACGTGTGTTATTTCGCTGAATTAAAGGCAAATTTTTAATGAGTCCTCAAATCTCTCGTATATATTCTAAAGTTATTTTGATAGGAAAGCTTTTGGAGTTCTACGGCCTTCGTATTAATTACGTTTCCATATGATTAAATTATTCTGTTGCCAAACTGTTTTACATAACTTCTATGCATTTTTCCCTTGAGTAATGTATAGTTTTTGAATTCCAGCCACAGTCAAATTTTTCTCATTTCATAATTTTCATTTCGAATACTTTTTAATATACTTTTCGTTGTTTTCGAAATGAAAATATAAAATAAGAGAATTTTTGCGAAAATATTAGGTTCGTAAGCAAAAGCCAAGTATGAAACCTACCGTCCGTTACTTAAACTGCAGGAATTTTAGAGAAAGATTTACTTTCTATTGAGAAAAATTCAGTTTAATCATCTGGCAACACTGATTTAATTTTTTGCCGAATGCCTTATGTAGACAGGGATGTGGAGTTATTTAAATCTTGCAATGTTTCAGTTAGAGTGTGTAGTTTATTTTTTTTTAAACCGCTATTGATATATGTTTCCGCTTTACTAGCTCGCATCCTTTTAGATAATGTTTTCAGATAATTTTTTTAATTGCCTGTCTCATCAAGACTTATTTCAAACTATGTGTGTCAAATTGGAACAATTTACTTACTTGAAGAATTGTATATAAATTATTTAGAGGTAATGAAGAGGCTATTTTTAAGATTAACTTTTGGTTACTCATTTTATTGTTAGCAAATAATATGAAATAATACAACTGATTTCACCTTAAAAAGACCATTTGCTGCATCTGACTTCTGGTCTTCAGTTTTAATCCCATATGAAGGATCGCAAGGCATGACATTTACTCTTGCTTCCACATCGTTGCTTTTTGATGTGCTATAAATTCGAAGATAGAGAAAATAAAATGCAGCTAGAAAAATCTTCATGAAAAAATAAGTTTAAACATTTCTGCAATAAAGTTTAATCCATAAATTTAAAAACAAATGTCGGAAAATCATTTTCATCTGTATCAAAAATAAAATTACAGATCTGCGGATTTTTCTAATGTATCCTGAATTTAAACATGACAGAAATTTAAAGACTAAATATTATTTTCTCAGAAGCATTATTAATAATTTAAGTAGATTATTGATTGTTACTGAAATTTATTTTCAGTTAATTCGAAGGAGAAAAATTAAGGATTTTTTTCAAAATTCTCTCAAGTTATCGTTATTTGTATTATGATTATAGAAAAATTATTTTATCAGAATCGTCACAAAAGATAAATAATTCATCAACAAAAATTAATGTAAAAATAAAATAATAAATATTGCATAAATTTTGACTCAAAAATTAATGTAAAAATAAAATAATAAATATTGCATAAATTTTGACTCCGTTGCTTTTTTAAAGTTTTAATAACTTTTATGATAAAAATACTGATATGGAAAAGGAGAAAGATTTAATGTTAAATGCACCATATAATCAAAATAAACGAGAAAAAAATTGGGCAATAATAATTAAGGAAATTTAAAAACATTTGTAGGAACAGTCACACAGATTTCAAACTTATATAGGTATGAATATTTCTCAAATACGCGAAATGGATTCACTAGAGACATTGATCTGATTATGTGGTTCAGCTATAATCACAGTAAAGTTAAACATATATTTATTTTCTCTACTTTTATAAACATTTTCGATAAAAAATTTTATACTTCACGCTTAGTTCTTCATACACACTATTATTCAAAGATCCTTGATTAACGTTTCCAAAACCATTTTCAGATTGTGTATCCTTGATGATGGAATCAGGATATGTTTGAAAAGATGAACTTTCTCCTTGGTTCATTATATCGTTATTCAAACTTTCTTTTTGAAAGTATGTTTCTTCGTCCATTTTAAAAATTTCTTACCTCTGGTGAAAGACAGAAAAATTTTACTTGACATAACCTGCGAGGTAGAATAGTAACGTGTTTTAAATCATATTTCGAAAGAAATATTTTGCTGCCATTCTGTTCCAAACATAAAAATTTAGCGCACAGTGTTGCCACTTTTCCCCTAATGTTAAAAGTTTTCTTTCATTAAAAATAAAAAAAAGTGTTCTGTGGCAAATGTAACTTTTAATGTATAAATACCTCCTAAAATTTCAACCTTAATTTTTTTACTATCTAGCTGTTTTAAAATTAAGATTTCATCAATCAAGCTGCTTCATAAAATTTATCTATGATAAGCACGTCATTAGTATAAATTCCGAATGAATTTAAAAACAAACGATTTACTCATTTATTTACCTAAAAAGTATCTAAATTAATTTTAATAATATTACTTGGACTTTAAAATTTCACTGCAAGAAATTGGCAACAGTGCAATTGTTATTAGTTATGTAAACAAAAAGCGTAAAATGAGATATTTTGTATTCTTTTATTTAGTTCATTCATGCTGCTACACTGTGGTTGGAACTTTGTTTTCGATTTTTAATTTACTTCCCGATAAGCTATCGAGTTTATATTTTGTATACACCCCTTATGGTAAATGACAATGCAATGTGATAGAAGGATTTTTCGCACATGTCTTCGTTTAACGGACAAACTAAAGGTATCATAATTTTTATTTTACGCATCGAATAGAGCAGGAATAATCTTTTCCACGAAACTTGTATGAAAAATTTTACTTAATTTCTGAATTTTTGACAAATTTTTAAAAATCACTAAATTTTTAGGTAAGTTGATGTTTATGTTTTAAAATTTTCATTTCTAAAAATGTATATAAAGTCAATTTTTGATTTCCTGGTGGATAAAAGGGCTGTATTTTTCGTCCCTGCCCCTTTTTTAATATTTACTTTAATTTTTATTTATTTATTTGTGATTTTTCCTCACAGAAATGAATGCAAATAAGAGCCATCATCTTTATTAATTCTTTTTTTTATTTATATTTTTTCATTTCTCTTTTTGATCAGTAAAAATTAGATGGAAAAAAATTGCCGAATAATTGCAAAAGTAAACTTTAAAATTAATTATATACTAATTAACTTTAAAGTTTGCTTTAAAATTAATTAGTGCATAATTAATTTGTCCTTTACATAATATTCAAGTGGATTTATAATGGTGTAATTGAACATATATAATGTTCAATTTTATAATATTTTAATGGAACATATCTTCCGTGATGTTTATAGTATTTAAACTGAACATAAATTCCATAATGACGTAAACAGACTGTTTCAAATTAATATGATCTCTGTTTGAGTAATGTGTAAAAACATGATTAATTAAAATAAAATGCAACATATTTATTTTATTGTTCGTTTACTGTTTCAAACTAATAGGATCTCTATTTGAATTTAAATGAAACGTCTAAAACATGTTAAAAGATAAAATAAAATATAAAGTAAAATAAAACACGCTTATTTTATTTTAATTAACCTGCTGCATCAGTGGCAGAGTGGTTAACACTGATGAATACGGAAAGTTGACCGCATCCATCCCAAGTGAACGAGCTGGCTGCATGTTTGGTGGTTTTTCGTTAATTTGCTCGGTGCTACTTTGTTAGACAGGTTTCACGGATTTTTGGCGATTTATATTGGCGATTTGTTTTTGGCGAGCAATACGACTTATGGTAAACCTATTGCTAGACAAGTTGTTTATGGTAACCGATACTTTGTTGTCATTTTATTCAAAAAATAATCCGTTTTATTATGCATAAATTCCGTGTTTTAAATTTTATTTATGATTTCAAAATAATAAAAATGAATTTAATTTTGCATTTTTATTTGAAATAAAAATTTTATTGTTTATGATATTTTATGGAATTTTATGTTGTGAATGATGTAATGAATGACGTCACATTATTTTAAAAGTAATTGGTTTTAATATCTATAAATTTAATCTAAAGTTTTAAACATTATTTATGGGTGTTAAATATTAAAATACAATTTAATTTTGAATTTTTTTAAAATATGATTTTATTATGAATGATTATTTAAATAATTTTAATTCTATGCGTGATGTAATCAGATCCCTGATTGGTTACTGAATATTTGTGCATTACCGCGCCATTTTAAAATTTTATTATTCATCTCTTCGAATTCCTCAGATTTCAAATGGAATGGATGTGTTCGTTTCGAATATGAATGTTGTTATTGGTAATTACCAAGATTATTGGTACCGGAATTAAAAAAAATGACGTTTGAGACCTTATTTTAGCCAACCTTGCTTTTCTAATCAAAGATTTATTTATAAATTGTTAATAGCGTCAGAGGAAATTTATTTTAAATTTTTGGAGAAAACCCGGCTAATTGCTTCTTCAATGAAGTGTGAGAGATGTGGATCACACAGATAAAGATAGTTAGCGGACCGTTTTTTTTTTTTTTTTTTTTTTTTTTTTTTTTTTTTTTTTTTTTTTTTGGTATCAATATACGACAGGTTAAAAAATGTGAGTACATAATTTTCTTTTACTTCATAATAGTATATTCAATTTTTATTAAAAAATTAATACAATGTTTTAAAAAATTCCTGAGATTTTTATTGCCGCATATGTTTTAATGTTAAATAATTAAATCCTATAGAACTTATTTTAAAGTATTTAAGTAATTCAGAAGTCAAACAACAAAAACCAGCGTTATATTTACAAAATTTTCACAGGACTAGTTTCGATGGTTTTACCGAACCATCATCTTCAGCTGCAAAACCGCAAATGAACAAGATAGGAAATAATGATTAGATAAGATAAGAAAGCCTGGACAAGAATAAGCAAGTGGCGCCATCTGTTGGCGAAACCAGAACTAAAACATAATTTCTCTAAAAGCCGAAGGCAAATTTGGATTGGAATTAGGATCGTTAACTAGAACAGAAAGATTTTTATGAATGTGAAATGCCTCTAGAAAATCCAGTTCTCCAATGGAAGATGTTTTTTGAATAATTTTGGTAGCAGAAAAATTGAAAGTGTGATTTTCGGACCAACAATGTTGAGCAACAGAAGACTTCTGTGTTTCCTTTTTTCTAACATATGCCTCATGTTAATTGACGCGAAATTTTAAGGCTCTCTTAGTTTGGCCAATATAAATTAAACCACACTCGCAAGAAATCCTATAAATACCCCAGGAATTCATATCCGGAATGGGGTCCTTGAGTATAGAAGTTGGCATTTTATTGATGGGAGAATAAACAACCCGAAAGTTAAATTTCTGCAAAATATGTGCAACTTTATAGCTAATTGATGGAAAGAAGGGAATGACAACAGAATTTTTATAATCTCCTAAAATAAGAGTGTGGCTTTTAGTGTGTTGAGATGAAAATTTTTTAACTGCTTGATTAATAATGTTGGGTGAAAAGCCCCTGTCAATAGCTATTGCTTTTAAATAATTTAGTTCTTCATCAAGGGCTAGTTTGGAGGAGCAAACTTGAAGAGCACGGAAAACATAGGAATAAAATGAAGCTAACTTTGTTTAGTCAGATCGGATGACATGATTTAAAGTGTGGTGGAAGGCAAACCGATGAAGGTTTACGGTAAACTGTAGTACTGAAGTTGGATGTGTTACGTGTGACCCAGAATGTCGAGAAACGGAAGAGAATTGCAAGTCTCTCGAAGTTCAAAAGTGAACTGAATAGCAGGATCAATAGAATTCATTGTTGAAAGAACTTTTTTTAAATCATCTTTATTACCTTCAAACAGGAAAAAGTATCGTCTACGTAGCGGAACCATGCCGGGAAGTTTAAAGTTTCAAACAATTTTGATTCATAATAATGCATGTAGATATCAGCCAGGATGGGACTGAGGGGGCTTCCCATGGCTAATCCCTCAGTTTGCTTGTAATATTTATTTTGGAAAACAAAATGTGTTTGTTTCAAACAGAGTTGAGTGAGAGAATTAGCTCATCATCAATTACGATGCAGGTAGAGAAATGAAATTCACGCGAAGTCTGGTTTCTAGACATCTTAATGCACCCTCCACTGGGACATTGGTGAATAATGATTTTACATCAAAAGAAACCATGAGTAAATTAGTAGGAGAAATGTTTTTAACCTTTTTTTACAAACTCTATTGAATTTTTTATGGTGTAAATGTTATTGTCTAATAGAGTGGAAAATCTAGAAACTAAATATTTAGCTAATGGATACGAGGCAGTACCTAAATTTGATACAATAGGGCGGAAAAGGAATACCACTTTTTATGAATTTTTGGGAAGAGCATATAATCTGGCACAATTCGCAACAGATGGGATAAGCGAATGTTTTAAGTTGCTTGAAATGATTTGCGAAGATTTTCGATCGCAGTTTTTATTTTGGATAAGTCCGAAGGTGAAGGATCTTTAGGGATCAGATTATATGGTTCTTCGTTTAAGAGTTTAGTGACACCATCGATGTAAGTGTTCTTATCCATGACGACTATCTGGCCACCTTTGTCGGCCTTTGAAATGATAATTATTTATTCGGCGTGTTATTGTGTCTTAATTATAGAAGCCCCAAACAGGCTTACATTTTGCTTTCTTTTTTGCACGTGGTGTGGCCGCCATTTTGTGATTGTAGGAGTTTCGGTGAGTACATTTTTGCAATTTTCAAGTTATTTTTATGTTTTGTACATTTGGATATTGTGCTTTGCTTGTCTGATTTCATGCATTTTGCTTACAAACGTTTTGTTTTCTATTCATTTCAGTGAGGTATTTTTCTGCTGTTTTGTGTTTTTTGTACTTATTATTGCATTTATTATTTAGTTGATTTTCTGCATTGTTTATCATGCCTTCATCCGTTTCAATCAAAAAATTACGCCTGAAAACGGCAAAAATTTCCTGAATCATTGACTTTTTACTTAAATGTAAATGTAAAAAATTGATCCTAAATTTTATTCAAATCAAATCTAATCAAAAACCTTCGAGTCGCGTTTCAAGAATTCTATTAAATTGCAAGTTTGCCTTACTTCGGTCCGTGATAAGGGATACACGTCAACAATTGTCCAAAATTGAACATGAACTCTATAAGCTTCATCTGGAACTCGCTAAAATATATCC